GCTATTAAAGTTTAATAGTTTATTCTAGTATAAAGAATTAACTTATTTAGTTAATTTAAATTAATTAATAAGCTAAGCTAATAAATTTAATTATAATAGTAGTTTATCCTATAGTTCTAAGGGTATTCTTAGGTTATTTAAAGGTTCTAGTAAATAGCAGTTATTTTATTTATTATTATTACTATTAGACGAGTTAGGGTTACTAGGGTTAAAATAAGTGTTATAAGTAACTAGCTAGGAAAATTATAACTACTAGTAAGTTTAATAAGAGGTACGTATATACGCTAAGTAAATAGCCTTCTTAAATAAGAGTTATAAGGTTTATAGTTTTTAGGTTTTAATATTACGTATAATTAATAGCTATATAAGTAGTATAATAAGGGATTATATAGCTTATATAAATACTACTCTTTTCCTAATTTTTTAAAGGGTTCTATTAACGTTTACTTATTTTTCGTTATTTATTTTTTTTATTACCTTATGAATAATAGTTTCTATTAAGTCTTAAATACTTTATAGTTATACCTAATTATAAGCGTTTAATTAATTTAAGCTAATATACTTTTAAGCTAAAAGTTCTTTAATAATACTATTATAGCTATTACTTACGCTTATATTTAATTCTAGGTATATTTAAGTTTATAATAAAGAGCTTAAATCTAATAAGTACTTTAAGCTTATACGTTTTAAAGGTAAGAGAAAGCATTATTACGCTTCTTCTTATTTTAAGTAAATTAAGTAATCTAATAATAAATATTACTAGCGAATTTATTTATAGCGTTCTTAAGCGTATACTTAAAGCTCTTACAAATATAGTAAATACAAGTGTATTGTGTATTGTATTTTATATTGTATTGTATTTTCGTGTATTATATTTAAATACAATACATTACATTCTTAAAATACCTATAAATGTAAGAAACGTATAAGCTTATTCTTACTAGGTATAAGGCTTTATTAAGCGAGGTTAATAACTTTTTAATATTTATTATAAACCTCTTAATACTTACATTAAATATCCTAGAGATTCTAGCAGTTTAATACCTTAATACTTAAGGCGTAAAAGTAAACTACCTTATAGACTTAAGTTAGTTATTTATTAAGGTTAATAACGTTTTCATATATTACTAGTAATTAGTTAATTAGTTTAAAGCTTCCCGTTAATTTAAGAGCGTCCCTTATTACCACGTTAAAGCTTAGTAGGTTATAAATAATTAGTTATTCTAATTTAATAGAAACTATAGCTACCTAAGAAATAGGCTTAGATTATAAGAGGTTAGGTTTTACCTAAAAGGGGGTGAGGTTCTCCAGCTACTTCCCTTTATCTAGTTTCCTTAGTTTAGGAGCTAGGGTAATCGTTACCACTAGTGCTAATATAACTTATAGTGTAGAACTTAGAGTTTTTTGCGATGGTTTAGGCTTAACTTTAGTCGGCTTAAGAGGTATAAGGTAATATTCCCTTTACTTTAGGTTTTCCTTATTATTACTAGTAATAGGGCTAGGTTTTTAGTTATTAATAAGAGTGTTAATAGAAAAGGCTTTTAATAAGTAATTAAAGAAGTAATAAGACCCTTAATTAAATACTAATAGGTTTCTACTTAATTAAAACCTTTAAGTCGTATAAGATAAGGTATAAAGAGCTACTATAATACTTTAAGGGGGTAATAAAGAGTTTTCTTTCTTATTATTATCTTTCTTATTCACGTCTTTCTTCTTATTATTATTTTAATTAAAAGTAACGTTCTTATTTAAGAATTCTTTCTCGCTTAAGGTCTCTTTCTCCTTTAAGGGTTCTTCTTAGTATTATTAAGAGAGCTTCTATAAAGCTTTATTTATAGGGTTAAATAATAGTAATATAAGAAAGTTAAGGTATTATAGGGTAAATTATATAACTAAAAAAGAGGGTCTTCTTTAAGGGTATAAGATTATTTATAATAAGGGCTTAATTATAAGAGCTTAGAGTAAAGGCTTTATTAAGTCCCAACCGTGTAACAACGGCCGACGAACGAGATGAAACAGGCAACGAGAGAGCCCCAAGCATGCTCGAGCAGATCGTACGGAGAGGCGCAAAGCGATTACGTGAGTCCAACGAGCAGTAGCGCCGCGCGGGTCAGGCTCAACGGGGCGCGAATTACGACAATGAATTCGTTAAGGACATGCGCTGGGTCGAGTTTAACGAAGGAAAGAACCGCGCTGTTATTTTCGCGGCCACAAGATAGATCAACGCTAAAGCTATAGATAGTTTAGTAGAAGAAGCACTAGAGGAAGATGTCGAGCGGAGAAGAGGGCTTATAATGCTATGTGATAGTATCAAGCGAGAAGTCAAGCGATCCTCGCCACGGATACACGCCGTTCCCAACCCATTCTACAGCGGCTTCACGGGATCAAAGACGGCAAGAGTAACCTGATACTATTCCGGATGAGCAGCGATATTAATATACTATAAACATATAGTATTGTGTGTCAGCGATATCTTTATTTCTGCTGGCGGGCGTACAGGATCGAGAGAGAAGAAGCACGAAACAGGCTCGCAATACGGTTTACGGATAAGCAATAGGGCTTGTTGTGCGACATGGGCTATGTGTTCTAAGAGATGCAGCGAATAGACGTGACGGCAACGAAAGCACAGAAGAAAGCCCAGATGCATGCGACAGCGACATAGGAGGCTAAGCAGCCAGCCCAAGTCGAGGCGGAGGTCCGACCACGCCGAGCTGGACCGGATCGTGTTAAGGTTCTTGATTGCATCTCTCAAGACCAAAGCCAGCGGCGCCATATACGCGAGCGAACTGCTCTGTTCCTTTGCTGCCACGGCTATCAGGCAAGGGGGCGACGGATCCCAGCTCGCAAGCGTGTTTACGGCAACGGTGGCGGTGATACTATGGATTCTACGGCTATTCTGCTTGGAAGACTCGTTCAGCGACATGCCGCTGATTGTGGATGACATTTTGGCGGAGAAGATGGAATGGTTTTCGGAGTAGCACGCGTAGTGGCTGCGTGTCGACCGGTTTATGGTGGCCGCGACTATGATCAACTAGATGGCGTATGGGAAAGGACACCGGAATAAAACCATGGCCATACTAACGGTATAATGGACGTACGACTATAGACACTCGTTCATAACGGCGAACACGTGCGGATCCACGAGTCTCAACGAGCTGCATACCAGGTGACGTTAAAAACGGACGAGGTTAAAGGGACGCTGCTCGGGGGCCAGTGGTCGACGATTAGGCCGAACATCGATCTGCGGAGCATCCGAGATGATATGAGCCATCTCGGTTCCGGGCATGTGTGGGGTGGCCGGGCGCGGACCGGAAGTGAGCACAATGAGGCATACGATGGACTACAGGTGATGCGTAACGTTTTTATGCGCGACGGATCGGTTATAATTGCAACATACCGCGACAAGGCCAAGTCTATCCAGGACATGGGCCGGAAGGTGGCGCGGTTCTCGCCAGACGACTTGGGACGGATGTTCGTGGCACATTGTTGACATCACGTGGACTCCCGGCAGAGGAGCTTCTGGAACAAGAACTCCAACTGCCAGAGACGGCACGAAGAACCAAGGAGTTCATGTTATATAACTATTTAAGTGGTTTCTTTTCATTCTTTTATTAACCTAACCTATATTTTTATAAAATATAAGCGCACTAAATAAAAAAGTTGGCCCGCCGAGCAATTCACAGCCGAAGGCTCCTTTTATGAGGGGCGCACACAATTCTCTCTTTTGTAGCTCAATCAGGTTGGCGCGGAGAGCACGAGCACAGAAATCTGCGTAAAACTCCCGGAAAAGACGTCGAATAGCTGTTTGCTCTGCTGGCAAGAGCCTTGTTCAATTCACAGCTTGTTCTGGCCAGCATCGTTTCTGTACCGTGAATATCGATGGCTAAAAAGTGGTCTTCCTTCATCAATACAAGGATAATAGACGATAGACGATAGCTAGCTATCTCAAGTGCATTCATACAATAAAATTGACCGTAATCTATCCCCACAAGGCTACTCTTATTTCAATTTTACAAAAATTGTAAAATATTGATAGGCCTGTCCGTCAGATACCATATCTTCGATACGTGGCGGACACTCGACTTATATTGTTGTACAAGGGGTTTAGAAATACCTAGCAAAGCCTGATCAAATTTAAACGCTACCAAACAAAAGCTAATGTGAGTGAGAGCTTCCGGGTCCAAAGAAATATCAATGCAAAGAGGGTGTGTCACGGCTTAGACAATTCGATTATCACTAGATTCTCCATCCTCAATGGAACATCGCAATCTGAATACTCTCATCCCAGTATATTTAGCCGTGACAGTATGGCCACACGGGCCTGCACCTCAAAGCATTTTGGAAGCAAACATTGTTCAGTCAACCCTTTCCCCCCCAATACCACATCCCCCAAGGCTCAATAGCACTTATCGTCGTCACTGTTGCCAGAATGGTATTCGATACGGCAACAGCGGTGGAACTGACTGCACGCTGCGACGTTAGTCTTCAAGCCAACGCAAAGCCAATCATTGTGCATACTGCCGCGGACAGATCCGCAGCAGGCTGTGGACGCCTGGACCAAAAACGCTTCATATGGTTTGTAACAAAAAGAACCCCTTTCGGCAGCCGCACGGGGTTTAAACGACTGGCCGGCAAAGATTCTGCCGACCCCAAGCGGGGACTTGTTGGCCTGAAGGCGGCATTTCTCAGCCCGCTCACCCAGCGGGCAGGCCGAGGCGAAGTCACCAGCAATAGCAGCGCCATGTACGACGCCTATACCGGTGAAGAGGATAGGAATAATAAGGTTGAGGGCAAAGAAGCGCATTTTGGTCGTTTCTGCACGAGAAAGAGAGTGGTTAGCTGCCTAGATTCGACCGACACGGAACTTGTAAAGTATTACCTAAAAAGTGGCAAAAGCCAGGTGATGAGTATGGTAGATTTCCGCGCTGTCTGTTCCGCATGATATTCTGGTCCAGATATCCCCTCTTTAATATTTTTCTTGTTTCCGCTGCGAGTCCTGGATGATCTCCCGATTTTGGCTCGCTTCCAAGCCCAACTCTGCTGCTGTAAGACGCAAAGGTGGCGTGAGACTACCTACACGAGAAGAATATTGCCAGATTCAATACCGACATGTGAGCCTTGGCTCACTCGAGAAGTGCTGTTGTCGATCTACTGCAATCTGACAGGAAGTGAATTGGTTTGTTTATGCTATCCTACTGCCCGTGTCTGCGTCGCTGGGCAGCAGCAGCCTCGAGTGCTCGCAGAATAATGCCCTCTGAGAGAATGACCTGAGGGAGCCGAGCCCTAGGAAACTTGTTGTTTGTTTTGGTACACAGCAAAATCGTGATCTTTTAAGCGTAGCATTCTTCGCACGCATTTCTCTGAGTGGCCTGTACAGAGTCGAGAAGAGCCAAATGGCTTCTGAAACGTTGTGGGTACACGATGCGGAGTTATCACGATCGGAATCCATTGATTGCATCGATTGTGGACTCGGTCCTTGATTACATCCATCTACGATGGAATTGAGGCCTTTTTTATACTTGGGAATCGGAAGGCATAGAAAAGGCCGCCTTGCAATTGAAAAGGCACTAATTCGAAGGTTTTGACTAGCTGGCTTCTAATTTGAACCTTATAGTCTAGTTCAAACCTTCCAAGATAATTGAACCCTTCTAGATGACGAGGCCAGGCTAGATGACTCACTGGGTGACCTACATTACGTACTCGTTGACAGGAGCGAATGTGCCTTTTTCAGTAAACCGGTGATCTACCCATTTAACTACGGGGACCCCTTTTTTCAAAACATAGGCACGGCCGGCCAAAGGCGGAAAACAAGGCCGCCCCATTAGCATATTATCATGCATAATAGTACGGCCTATAAACGGAAGTCAAAGCGAACGAGGCTGGAGAGGAGGGGTGACGGGGAAATGGCCTCGACCACCGTGACAGTCGCTTCTTAGCTAGGTTTTGGGATTTTCTTATAGCATATCATCCAAAGCATAGGGATATGGATAGTGAGAGCACCATATTTAGCTTCGTCCCATATGGTGGTTCCTGCCAAGTTCTGAGGTCACGGTAGACTTTTCCATAGTCGGTCGGCTGCTAACAATACCATGCCTTGTCACAGCCGTATTGTAAATTACGGACCCCAAAACTCTGGAAATACAGCAAATGACTCTGAACAACCAAGCTCAGCATAGAAAGGACATACCTTGTATTACTTCCCGTCACAATTGCCATCCCAGGCACTAGTCTCTGCCCAAACATGGTTCATCCTACTCACCGCGTGGTAGCTCAGACCACCTACCGCCAGATATGAGTCAATTTTCCTTTAAAAAAACAACCTACCCCTTCTCTATTATATAGTTCCCTATACACGTATTGAAAACATGTTCAACACTTCCTACTTATCCTGTCGACGCGCTCGCCATGTGCCAACAATACCATGCCTTCCCCCAGCCGTATTGTAAATTACGGACCCCAAAACTCTGGAAATACAGCAAATGACTCTGAACAACCAAGCTCAGCATAGAAAGGACATACCTTGTATTACTTCCCGTCACAATTGCCATCCCAGGCACTAGTCTCTGCCCAAACATGGTTCATCCTACTCACCGCGTGGTAGCTCAGACCACCTACCGCCAGATATGAGTCAATTTTCCTTTAAAAAAACAACCTACCCCTTCTCTATTATATAGTTCCCTATACACGTATTGAAAACATGTTCAACACTTCCTACTTATCCTGTCGACGCGCTCGCCATGTGATTCACAGCTATGTAAGCAAAGGTAAGTGCCGGACCAAGGGTAGATCCAGCCCCAGGATAAGATCTGCCCATGACGCTAGCAGAAGTATTCCCAGCAGCATACAATCCCTTCATCACAGAGCCATCAGCCCTGAGCACTCTGGCATGCTCGTCGGTGACCAAGCCCCCGTTTGTGCCCAAGTCTCCCGGCAGAACGGCAACCGCGTAGAAGGGTGCCACGGCAACAGGGCCCAAGTTTGGATTCGGTGCTACTTTCGGATCGCCAAAGTAATTGTCATACTCGTCGCTTCCACGGCCGTAATCTCGGTCCACTCCCTCTTTTGCCATGACATTGAATCGAGAAACCGTCGACTGCAGCCCAGCCGGATCGACGCCGATTTTGGCCGCCAGTGCGCCAACCGTCTCAGCTTTATAAATGTATCCTTCTTTCAAGCCAGCCTCGGGTTCTTGTCTGGGCCTCAAGCAACCAAGCGAGTATCGTTTGCGATGATTGGCATCCAGTACCAGCCAGGCTGGGATGGCCTTTACGTCACGGTTCCTAGCATACTGCTTACGACCACAGTCAGTATAATCCGCAGACTCGTTCATGAAACGCGACCCGGAAGAATCGACAATGATGCTAGACGGGCGTGATCGCTCCTGCAGCGCAAACAAGTTTTTGCCAACGACCGGGTCGACAATCGTTGGCCCCCACCACGCGTCGTCCATGAGAGCAGCAGCGGCGCCGAGTCTCATGCCAGCTCGGATGGCATCACCGGTGTCGCCCTCTGGCGTGCTGGTCCACTCCGTGCTTGCCGGCGCCGGGCCGTACTGCTCCCTCATGGAACGGTTGTGTGCGAAACCGCCTGCGCAAAGCAGGACGCCGCGTCGAGCTCGAATGCTTTGGATCCGGTCATTTTCCTGTACGGTGGCTCCGATAACGGCCCCGTCTTGCTGTTGTATGATGTTGACCAAGGAAGTGTTTCGCTGAACGGCAAGGTTACGCTGCTGATTTAGGTGAAGAAGCTGCGCAACAAGAGACAGCCCCATGGTTGCTGGCGCTTCACCAACTGCCTTGAGCCACAGTATTCTACGCCTAACCTTGAGCGCTTGGACGAAATCTCTGACAGATGAGCCCATTCGTGTGAGAGTGGTGAACTCGTCTGTAAAACAAGCCGGTGGCTGTAGGGGTCTTGTACGGAGAAGTGTTTGCCATTGATTCAGCTTGTTGAGATCAAAGATGCAGGGCTCAATGGTTCTGCCAAATTTGGCCAATGCGCCTGGTATCTTGGGGTGATAGTCGGGGCACCCTTTGCTCAGTCTGCAGTTGAAACCCTGATTCCTCAGAAAGTCGACCATTAATGGTGCTTGCTCAAGATACGCGAGTTTCCGTTGTCGCGTTGACGCTGGTCCAACATGCCCAATGAGGGTTTCCATGTACTTCAGCGCATCTGCTTTGCTGTCTCGAATGCCCTCTTCTTTGGCGAGCGGGCTCTGAGGAATCCATAATGCACCCCCCGAGTATGCTGAGCTGCCGCCAATTTTGCCATTTTTCTCAATGACTAGAGGTTCGAGGCCATGGGAGTGTGCGCGCAAGGATGCTGTCAGGCCAGCGGCGCCGCTCCCAATGATAAGCACGTCGACCTCGGCGTCAAACGGCGTCTGGTTGGGCGACTGTTGAGGCGGTGTTGCAGAGAAGCAGTCTGAAAGGCCATCCATCTCGACTTTTTGTTTATCGGGCTGCGAAGCAAATGATGAATGGGAGCAGTCAGGATGTGCTGATGATAACTTTTTGCATGCTGGCGAGAGCTGTGAGATTACTAGCTTGTCTCAGCACGCTTGACACAACAACTGCCGGTGCGTGAGGCTCATTGGGTTGGGCAGATGAGCAGAGTATGAATGGTACGCCCCGTCTCGATGGCCACGTACAAACAGAACCGGGCCAGGATGAGGCACAGGACACTCTCTCTGTTCAGTCTTGGCCTACGGCGACGAGGAAAAAGCAACGAGCAGCTGAAGGGCTTCGACAATCAAGCGCTAGGGGCACTTGATTTGATAAAGCTCACCAGCTACACAATAGTGAGGGTAAAGAGACAGAGACCGGGTCGGCTGGTCCCAAGATGACAGCGAGATTCCCCCGCAAATCTTGTGGATACCAAGACGTCGATACAAGAATGTGCAAGCCCATGGAGCACATCGATTGCCAATCAACGCCGGGTATGTCTGTGTAAGCTGCATCATAATGCATATCGTACAACCAGTAGTGTGATTGCTGGTTTATGACTCCATTTTCGTGCCCTCGGCACTTGAGCATCCTGAGCTTGGGAATGGCCGAGTCCCGCGCTCCCAGCACAGTCGGCCAGCCATTTTGGAGCTTCACATTATTCCTTGCCCGTGAGTCGTCGGCAAGATGTCGCTGCACGTATAACGGTGAGTGGCCTGGCATTGAAACGGGATGGAGACCAGACCTCAAGCTCTTGTCAAACAACATTAAATGCTGCTTCTCCACTTCCTCTTCCTAGTCTGGTGGATACCAAGATCTTGTGGGGAACGGCTGTTGGCTCCTCGGCAAGATCCGATCAGACGAGAGGACGGGTGGGTTTCTTGGCACTCAGAAAAGCTCGTGGGAGGCATCTTGACAGGTCGCTTTGGCGTGAAAGCTTTTGGGGCAAAAACAGTACATCCCTCGACAACACGACGATACGAGTCTCCAACGTGTATCGTTAAATCATCAGAATACATGCAGAAGCACATTAAAGTTGATGATATGTACTCAGAAAGCCATGTTGGAGAATTGGACTGGTGCACATGTGGCATTCAGGCCCTGATCCTATAAACCGCGGCTGACGGTCAGCCGGCTGAGAACACTGCATAACACGCATAAATATAGCGCTTACTCATTTTTAATAAGGGATTTACACATAAAGTTATAGACGGAACCCACATCATTTATAGCCCCTTATTTATAATGTATTACGCTAGCAGAGACCGCGTAAATACCTGTAAAAGGCTTAATTACCAAGTTTTCAGTCAATTTTACCCTAAATTTAAGAGCTAAAAGTAATCCGCGAAAACGTGCTGAACACTATCATGCTGCTGATCAGCCAGACCTGGTGGAGTCGGTACAAGGGAACACAGTCCCAAGATGACAGCGAGATTCCCCCGCAAATCTTGTGGATACCAAGACGTCGATACAAGAATGTGCAAGCCCATGGAGCACATCGATTGCCAATCAACGCCGGGTATGTCTGTGTAAGCTGCATCATAATGCATATCGTACAACCAGTAGTGTGATTGCTGGTTTATGACTCCATTTTCGTGCCCTCGGCACTTGAGCATCCTGAGCTTGGGAATGGCCGAGTCCCGCGCTCCCAGCACAGTCGGCCAGCCATTTTGGAGCTTCACATTATTCCTTGCCCGTGAGTCGTCGGCAAGATGTCGCTGCACGTATAACGGTGAGTGGCCTGGCATTGAAACGGGATGGAGACCAGACCTCAAGCTCTTGTCAAACAACATTAAATGCTGCTTCTCCACTTCCTCTTCCTAGTCTGGTGGATACCAAGATCTTGTGGGGAACGGCTGTTGGCTCCTCGGCAAGATCCGATCAGACGAGAGGACGGGTGGGTTTCTTGGCACTCAGAAAAGCTCGTGGGAGGCATCTTGACAGGTCGCTTTGGCGTGAAAGCTTTTGGGGCAAAAACAGTACATCCCTCGACAACACGACGATACGAGTCTCCAACGTGTATCGTTAAATCATCAGAATACATGCAGAAGCACATTAAAGTTGATGATATGTACTCAGAAAGCCATGTTGGAGAATTGGACTGGTGCACATGTGGCATTCAGGCCCTGATCCTATAAACCGCGGCTGACGGTCAGCCGGCTGAGAACACTGCATAACACGCATAAATATAGCGCTTACTCATTTTTAATAAGGGATTTACACATAAAGTTATAGACGGAACCCACATCATTTATAGCCCCTTATTTATAATGTATTACGCTAGCAGAGACCGCGTAAATACCTGTAAAAGGCTTAATTACCAAGTTTTCAGTCAATTTTACCCTAAATTTAAGAGCTAAAAGTAATCCGCGAAAACGTGCTGAACACTATCATGCTGCTGATCAGCCAGACCTGGTGGAGTCGGTACAAGGGAACACACCCACTATCGTGATGTATCTTCTTCAGCCGGCTGGCGTTCAGTCGCGGTTTATAGGATCAGGGCCTCAATACCACCTCGAGTCTTGACAGTGGCTGTTGCGGGCTTTTGCCAAGCGGCGTCAACCCCACGTCAGACTAAAAAAATTGGCTACACTGACATGGTTCAAATATTTCTAATTTCGGCCCTTGAATCTACCCTTGTGTCTTCAATATTCGGACTAGGTCCCTCCTTGAAGGCGACCTCCAATGCTGCCTTTCTCCTCGGCCTGTCGCGGAGCATCAGTCATGTATACGACAGCTAGAGCTGAATGAGGTACAAACCTGAGGTATTTCACGTCCACGATACGGAGAATAACAGCCAGGACAATGACGAGGGCGCATACTGCAATGGACGACTGCCAGCCGTATTTATCTTGAAATACATTAGCGACACCCCGGGCAGCGGATTACCTACGCGATTCTCACAGTATGGTGCCTGGCTAGCGGGCCAGACGAGAACTTGGCTCCATGCAGAAATGGAATAGTAGCCAGCAATAGCGGCACCGGCAGCAAGCGACCGTTCTTCAGGTTCTTGTGGTGCGCTGCAACACCTTGTTATTAGGTCAGACTCTTCGTTAAACCTTCACACGACGTACAGATCGGAAAGCCACGCCCAAATGAGCGGCGCAGTGCCAAGCGGGACATGGGACGTGAAATAAGCAGCATACGCCGCCGACAACGGAGTCCCGCTCGGATTGGTCGTCCATATGGTAAGGATAATAGCTACGATGATGGCAATGACCGCTAAGTCGCGTTAGAAGTCATGTTCGGTAGAGGTCAGAGCTCCCACATACCTTGCATTTCAATCAAGGTCCATCTCGTTCTCAACATGTCGGACAAGAATGCCCAGATCCAAACTGTTGGCGTAGTTAGCTACACCGGAGGCGTAAAGACGCTGCAGAATATGTACCAAAAACAACGCTTATAGCACTGCCCCTAATTGGAATCAGATTGACCTGCACAGTGGTCCACCTCGGCGAACCGTCTCTGTTTTTGATGGATTTCAGAAACAGACCAAAGTAGTTGTATCCCGATGTCCCAAGGACCATGGCGATGTACATGACCCCAATGACGTATACCAACCACGTGGAGAATGTGCGTCTAAAAAAAGTTCAGCAGCTGCATGTCGCAAATGAGGTGAATGAAACGTACTTGGCTGCGGCCCAAGTAATAGGTTTTGCATCCAGCCGATTCTCCCTCTCGAGTCGATGCAGAGCATACTCCGAATGAATCCTCTTGAACCAGAATGCCCATGGATTAGGGTTCTGTGGCGAATCAGGAATCATGAAGTAGCCTGCGAAGCCCCAAACGACGGTGATGATGGCATTGATGACAAAGAGCCACCTACATGGACTATTAGCCACCAAACGATGGTAGTGGTGGAATTTGCTCACCTCCACCCGACAAGGCCGTAGCGACCATCCATGGTTTTCACAATGGACGCCTGCATGGCCCCCGACATCATCTGCCCAACTGCCTGGCAGGAATGATAGAAGCCGATCCTCTTGGCCATTTCCAGTGGTGTGTACCAGGACACTGACGGTCGTTAGCTCACATACGCACACGCACAGGCGTTGAATATCGCAAGAGAACGTACTAAACAGCGTGATCATGCCGGGATATGCTGCGCTCTCGCACAGTCCCAAAAACACCCGCAGGATATACACCTGCTTCGCGCTTGTAGTCATTGCAACCAGCCCCGTGATGACGCCCCAGATGACTTCCAGTGAGGGCAGCCACCAACTTGGTCGCACGTAGGTCATGATGATTTGAGAGGGGATGAGCATGACGCAGTATGCAATGTTGAAGTAGGTGGTAAACCTACAAGGCCCTCATCAGCGTCATCTCTACCAAGTGAGAAAAGGGACACAGTATGCAGACGCACAGGTTCAGCTCGTTCCCCCAAAGCCCCAAATCCTCTTTCATGCCCGAGACGTAAGCGTTGTTTATGTTGGACTGATCCAGGAATCTGCAAATGTCAACAGTCAGGTTCCATTCAACCAAACGTCTTCAAAATGGCATACTTGATGACTACAGTAGGCCGTCAGCGGCCCTGCATCACGAAATCGCATCTTCTGGATTTCCATCACGACTCACTCTGGGAAATACACCCAAATGTCAATAGAAACGCGTCCAACCTTCGCACCAAGCTTCTCTCCTCCTTGGAACGCGCAGGTGCCAGTACCTGCGGTGCGCTTTTCGTCCCAAAACAACGGAAACCGCCCATGTTCGCCGAATCAATCTTGATCTTGGAGATGTATGGAAAAATGACTGTCAAAAGGGTACGAGTTCGGTGCAAAACATTCACGTTCCTTGGTTACATGGCAGGTTGGATGCGGATCCCCCGCTTTCGGCGATGTGACCACAGGTGATGGAGTCGTGCGGGGGGCAGTTGAAGGCGCGATTAGAGACAACATGCTGTGCGACAACGGGAGCAGTGAGAGTTGCATTGCTGTCAGGGCTTTCGACGGGGTTCACCTGAAGCGTGATACCATGACCAATACGTCTGGTGCGATTATGCCGTATATAGAGACGTGCTTGATTTGGGGAAAGATTGACTTTACGTGACAGTGAACATGGCCGTGCCGCCACCAAATTGTCTTGTTGGGAAGGAACGGTCAAAGGCATCGTGGCACCGTAAAAGCCCGCCAAATTGATTTTCTAATTTTACGATTTTACTAAAAGGCAGTTACATTCTTCTGAGCTCCAAAATTACACCAAAACGCCTGGCCAGTTACACAAACTCCATAGGGCGTGTCTGGGCCACCAGAGCCCAGATGCCACTGGACTTCTAAGAAAATACTGCGCACACATCACCTGATGGCCTCACGAGGCGGGGGAGATCGAGCAGGCAATAAGCAGCCTCAAGACTTCCACAATAGCTTCTTACCTGATGATTAGTATTCGTCTTCGTTGTTACTCACCACGTCCAGCTCAGTATTCCTGCATTTATCCACCACTACTCGCATTAACGTGGGTACTGAATACGATTCATCCAAGAACTTGTGTCGCATCCCGTCATCTTTAGCGAGAACAACCTGGAAAATACTTAAAGGCCATTCGAAGTCATCAGCGTCAAGGGGATTAGCTGTATGACAGTCTTCCAGTACGGACTGGTTCATAAGAGCCAAGTTGAAATAAAAGGCTGCCCTCTCTTGGTATATTTTCTGGGAGTCACCCAGTCTAGCCCACTTGTCTTGATATAGTGCTTCAAGTGTTGATGGGAAAAGCTTTAGGCGTTGAAATAGATCATTCTCCTCGTTTCGGTCTTGCAGCACTTTTTCCACTCCTTGAAGTGCCAAAACCAGCCGTAGATAGACCTCTTCGGCTTTTTTAACTAGCAACTTGGTCAGTTTCCTCAGAAAATCCCGGTTATACGTCTTTGTGGACTCAGTTGGGAGTTTTAAAGCTGTTTCAATTTCTGCTGAGGCAAATCGGCGCATATTACGCCTCGTAAGCTCGTGGAGTCTGAAGCCGTCATTCTGGAAAAACTTTCCTCGAAATATTTGCTCTTCACGACGGGAAACACAGACCTTGGCATGCTGTTGCGCCGTAAGGAAGTCTGTGAATTCCAGAAACTTGTAAGCCTCGGTCATCTCGTCGAAGCCATCTGTCACAAAAAATACCGACTTGTTTGAATTTTGGTACTTTCCTAGCAAGAGGGAAAATAATTCTTCCGGTATTTAACTTCTCAGTCACTTACTTCGCCCTTTTGTGCATTAAAGGTCAGTCCTGACAGCACGTTATTGATGAATATTAGCTGGTGGTTAAAAGAACACAGTGGTCCTTTAATATTTTTTTGGAACATATTTCCAGGCGTCCGAAAAAAAATGCGATACGATGGTGACACTTTACTCCATGTTTCAAGACCTTTTATGGTGTTCTGATGGTCAATGAGATACTTGACTAGGGTGCTTTTACCAGCACCAGGCTTTCCTTGAATCCAGAAGACTTTCTTGTCCGATCCTAGCTAGTTGGAAAATAATCCCCAAGCATATATCCTACGTTTGTGCTTACGCGACCTCTCCTCCCTCTCTAATCCTTTCCTCTTTTCAATCGAATCAAATATCGCCAAATAAGTTGTATCACGTTTGACAGCTATAGAAGGGATTGAAGAGTGGAATTATCCTTGGGATTGAAGCTATCTAGGGACGGAAAACAGTCCCTTTTTATAGATATTAAGGTCATTCAACAGGTCACCTAGAAAGTTATTAATTGAGGGCTTTAGCTGTTAAAAGTCCGACTTTAATGGGGTTGTAGCGCGAGCATTTTAGAAGGATCAATATTGAGGCTTTAGGCTTTCCGGCGATGCCGATGAACAGCAGCCTTTTTCCATTGAAAGGGACCTGGGCCTTTGGCGTTGACAAGTTGTCTTATGAACAGCTTCAATGCGGGTTCGCCGTTCATTCATTAGCAAACTTCAGGCTTTAGAGAAGTATGTCTCCATCTGCCTTATTATGCTCCCGAGCAGAAACATCGTTTATTGCTTGCTTTAGACGTACCTCAGATCGCTGGATTTCCTGTCTCGTCTCAACACCATCGTGTAAAGTGAGATCGATCATCTTGATATGTCCGGCTGCAAGCTGAATCATGTTTTTTGACGTCCAAGAGCTCATTGAAACTGTATGTTGTTGCGCTTGTACAGCATTGGTTCTTGCGCTGCTTCGTTTCTATGTTAGTTTACAAATCACCACCTGCAAGCTGGAGCAAAAGATCTGCAATTTACCTACCAGACACGAAACTGTATTTGTCTCTCCATTATTTCCTGGTATTGGGAAAGAGAGTCGGACAGCTTTGCAAGCCTTTCCTTGCCAAGGTATGACCTGACTGAAGCTATAATTACTTCTAGGCAGTCCCCACATTCCTGTATCTTTTGAGGTCGACCTCGTTTAGCAAATTTTTCGCGACGTCTTGACATTTCCAAGATATTTCGTGCAATTCTTGTTCTTGTTCACTGTGTTTTTCAATGCAGCCGGAGCAAGTTAAATCGTTCAATAAACGCTAAATTGATTCGGCATTTTCTCGCATGTGACTATCAATAATGGGACGACCATCATACACGGCTTGGCATGTGACTATGACATCCTTTGTACAGGAGATGACCTGAAATATATTGCAGGCCAGCGAAAAGGCCTCCAAGCCGGACATTTCGCCTAGGCTGAGAGAGCCAAATAGAAAAACGGTGGCAAGAAACACACGCAAAGAACCCAAAATTTTGACGGGGAGAAGGCTCTTACATATGCGTAGCCTTATTGGTCATGCATGGAGGCCTTCATGTATTCTCAGCCTATGATATTAAAGAAACCGTATCACGACATGTTGGCTGCTGTCAAGTCAGGCAGCCATGTGAGTTATTTTAGAAGTCACCAATACAAGTACTTTGCCAATGCAAATGATAGTTGTTACAATAGAGACGATGTGTGCTTCCCAGGAAGAGCTGCTCCGAGTGTGTCGATCGTTGACCCGGCTCGAGAAAGCAGGTTACCGTTGGCTACATCGGCATACTATGCATCACCTTGTATGCGGTTCACTTGAACCGTGAACGCAACGTCATCTCTATTATCTACGCTTCATTTCAATTCACGCAGTTAATGTCTCCATGATCGGAAACACTGCTGCTGTGTTTGACTGGACGGGCTGATCCGCAATTTCCGTGAACTGTCCACACCACACTATCACGTCGCACTATCGATTTTGACGACTTGTCTTACCGGTCTCCTGCGGTAGAGCATGAAATGAATTGTATCACAAACCCTCGAATCCAGGGCATACCAAGCAACTTAGATGCTCTGGTTGGTCGTCTACAACCGCCGTAGATAAGGGTTGGTGACAGTCGATGCCATCCTTGCAAAACGCTATTGGGCTTAAACTGCCGCATTCACCATTGTTTTGTATCTACCCAACTCTGCATGCTCTCCGTAGACCCGATAGCTTTCTTATTTGGTACCTGTGTGGGACGACGACTCGCCCGGTAATAGCTGCGACGTGCCCGCGGACAACGTCAGAGACGCGATGAAGTCAGGAGCAGGAGTTCCATCGCGAGTGCTCCAAATAGTGTCAGGATTTCCGTACAGACATTTATTTTGCCTATCCGAATTCGAGTATGCAAGATCAGCAATCAGAGTCTCACAAAAAGTATCTCGCTCATGCGAATGGAATTCGCAACCCAGATGCAACTGGCTCAATAATGACTTCGTTTCCATTTTCATCCATTTATAGCAAGATCTTTTTCCAAGGTTGTCGACAGGGACATTATGCCCGGCGTTGAGCAGCTCTAGTGAAGTGTAGGATCCGATAAAATCTCAGCCACCAATCAGAAGGATAAAGTCGTCGCCGGAGTCCTACACTATTGATGGTATACGTGGGCTACCATACCGGTTGATTCAGTATGAATCGATGTTGCCCGAGCAGTTAGTCTTTTGAGATTTGATTGTCGTAGCACGCCATTGCCATGGAAGGTATATAGGTGGGTGCCTCGACTGGCAAAGAATCAGCCCGGCGACTGCTTTTGGCAGGCTATCAAACGGAAGAGCACAAACAATGTTTATGAAGCATTTCCGTCATGTAATTCTGAAAGTCTCTGATGCTCGCCAATTTCGGATGCAGAGGCGGCGGTTACGGGAGGAACGGGACGTCGTTGGTGTGTCCATTTTCCGCGTGCGGAGTCGCTGATCACGAAACCCCTCCTATTTGCGTCCTGAACGGCGTATTGTATTATTTGACGAAATTTTAAGCCTGTGTCTATAATAAGAAGTGCAACAGGCCAACAAGACATGGGATCAACAGGGCCGGTGCGGTCTTCCGCCAGCCAGCTAAGACAGTCTAGTCTCAAAACCGCTCTCGGGCTGTCCTGAGCTGCAAGTTAAGATGAATAGAGCTGACGATGAAACCCACTTTGACTTTTCTCGACCGATTCAGGCGCACTCAATGGGTGCTAGGGACGAGAGCCGATGAAACCGCATGGACCCTAAGCTGGCCTGCGGCTTCGGAATCCCCCACATCAATGTGTACGATTGAAAACCGTCAGCACATGCTTACTTTGAGTCTTGAATTAGATCCAGGGAGACGGCAGGGATTTGACCGCGAAGAAACAAAACCAATGCCAAATGACGACTAAGGAGGATTTGCGGCTGTAGATCCTGCAAGGTAACCGCAGGTTCCGCGAAAGGCATACAAGGTATCAATGATCAGCATTAAAACTTTATCGACGCTGCGCTAACCTACTTTGCCGCTCTTACCCTATTATTCAGGGGCACCGTCTCCATCTCTACACCGGCTAAAGCGGAACGATCTTGGGCGGCAAATAGGGCCGCGTCACGATTTTGGTAACTTCATCACCGGACGGCCCAGTCCGTGCGCGGGGATAGATCATAGGACCGTGTGTCTACACACCAGACTCGTGTCGATCAGGCCGTCTCTCGCAATCCCGCTACTCTTGGACCTTCGATGCGCTTTGGGCCACGATGCGGCTTGCAGTGCCGCGTTCCCGAGTCCACCTCTCCTCATGTCCGTTTTGTACGAGCAGCAGGGAACATGCCTGCGAATTCGTCAGCATTCTGCCCAACTGTCCATCCAGATAGCAGATCCTCGTCTATATTGGGGTTGACGTCCTCCGCAACTCGCGGCAGTTGGTATTCTTCATGGGCGTGTGTATTGAAACCCCCAACTCTGTTCCTTGAATTAAAACTACACATTGCCCAATTGTGCCGCCAAGACTGAGCAAAATCTCAATGACAATAGGAGCTTGAAGGTTGAGATTTTGAGACCTGCATCAGTGGCCTACTCTCTAGTCACTCGTTTACTACTGCGAATGCAATTCCGCTTGCTGTTGCTTCCGCATTCCACATGAGGCACCACGCATCATCGCGCTATCTTGCGCTTTTGGGGGTGGTTGTTCGTTTTGTAGCCGCAGCTACTACCGTCACCTCCACGGCCCTGATTATCGCAGCCAACGACAATGATGTTGCAAAAGCAAGCCTTGGCCTAGACGCGTATGGGATCCCTTGGGCCAAGGCACTTATTCCTCAGAGCGGCGGATCGCTGCCCGCCTTGAACTCGACTGTTACCGATGGCAACTATGGCAGCATCGTCGTTTTGGACAGTGTTGCCTACGACTATAATGGAACGTACCGCAGCGCCCTGACGACTGATCAATGGAACCAACTCTACGCTTATCAGTCGGCCTTTCAAGTGCGCATGGTTCGACTTGAGGAGTTTCCTGGCCCGGATTTCGGTGAGCACCACCCCGTTTGGCCATGATGATGCCGCACATCTCATGGCAAGCATTCTTCTAACGAGGCAAGCAAGGAACCACATCTCTCGGGACATGCTGCAACAACAATCAAGAGCAGCTTGTCAGCCTCAACAGCAGCTCCCCCTTCCCGGGCGCAAATCTCAAGACGTAGGTGGCTCCGTACTCGCAGCTGTACTGGCTCGACGCCTTTGTTGCTAACGAACCCGGCATAGTGGCGCGACTGTAAGCACTGTCGGCCTCTGGCACTATCCCGCCCAAATAACCAATTCAAGCATCGCTACGGCGTTTGCTGTCTTTTCGCCTACCACTGGATTTTCGACAGAATCTGTTGCGGCCGTCATCAACAAGATCGGCGGCCGCGAACAGATGGCATGGTTCCTTGACTTTGCCCCCGACTGGTCTGCAACGTCCAGCTACCTACAGCACACTTATATCCACTGGATGACTCGCAGTCTGTTTGTTGGCAAACGCAAGGTCTATCTAAACACCCAAGTCGACGACATCCACCTCGAGACAGATATGTATCTGCCCGTCAACACCACGTTTAAGCTTCGACCGGAAGACCTCGACGCCCATGTCACTTGGCAGAAGAGCTTAAACAGCCGCCTACCTGCTGGCTCCGATTACCGGATGGAGCTCGGTCACAACGGCAATGGTGATATCGACTCGGCCGTTGGCGAGGATGCCTCAACTCCGAGAAAGTGCAACCCCAATAGAGCCGTTGATTATGTCCAACCACCCGACCCCCCTCTCGAGTTTGTCAAGCCTCCTGGAACGGGAGTCGATCTGTGGCCCTCGAGCTTTGTAACATATAATTGGTCCAAGGACTGCGCTAGCCTGGATCCCTTGGCTGCGTGGTTCCTCACCCCGACGAATCTTGATTCGTTTGCCCATGTTTCTCATACCTTCTCCCACGAGGAACTCGACAACTCCACCTATCACGACGCCACTCGCGAGATCTCATTCAACCAAGCTTGGCTGGCTCAGATGGGCATCTCACAGGCAGAGAGATTCTCGCCCCAGGGCCTGATCCCCCCGGCTATTACTGGCCTACACAACGCGGACGCCATTCAGGCATGGGTGGCCAACGGGATCAAGTACGCCGTGGGCGATAATACCCGGCCCATCTTGGTCAATCAGCAGAACCAGTACTGGCCCCTTGCCTCCACCGTGGCCGTCAATGGCGCCACGGGCATCTGGATCATTCCCCGTTGGGCCACCACCATCTACTACAACTGCTATTCGTCTGACTGCACTCTGCAGGAGTGGAAAGACACCTCGGCGGGCTCTGGAACCTTTGAGAGTTTGCTAGACAACGCCCGCACGACGAATAGCCGCTATCTCCTGCGTCTCCAGGCCGACCCTTATATGTTTCACCAAGCCAATTTACGTCAGACCGACATGCCGTCCATCACTGTCGGGTCCCAGACTGGCAAAATGTCCTTGATCATGTCTTGGGTCGAAACAGTTGCTCAAGAGATGGTCCGTCTGACCAACTGGCCTATTACCTCCCTGAGGCACGACGACATTGCGACGTACTTTATCAATCGTATGACCCTGGATGCATGCCAGCCGCATGCAAGCTACACTTATTCCGCAGACGGCACTTCTATCACGGCCATGACTGTCTCCGCCAATAATACGGCTTGCAGCGTTCCCGTTCCCGTAACGATCCCAAGTGGTACCGTCTCCGCCAGCGGCGGCTCTCCAACGAGCGACAATCTGGGAAATGAGCCTCCGATCGTTTGGGTTACATTGTCTGGATCGCCCGTGACGCTGACCTTGAGCACGCCAGTCAAGCTGGGTTGATATAAGTGTCTTTTTGTGAAAAATGGCTACAGGCATGGGGTGGGCTCAGCCGGTGATTGTGTAGTATGCTGGGGACTGCAATTGGGAGTTGATAGACGACCATGTCTCTTTGGCTAGGGTGGCACGATAAACCACTTTAATTATTAATATATATTTCAGACCTACTGGTAGTCGTACAGGCCTTACAAGTGACGGGCTGCTGCAGGTGTAATTGATCCCTGATGTTTTGAAATCCTGCATTCCTCATTGTTTTGCTCTGTTAGCTAGTCACCGTCACTTAACCAGGGTATATGTCAGGGCCCACATGGTCACGTGTGAGGCACCAGGTTATTGTTGCTACGCTGCTACCCTCTAGCTAGCTCTTCTTCTTCTTCTTTTATATAATTAACTTCTTCACTTCTTTTAGCTCTCTTATAATATAACTTATTAGTTGTATTATAAGCTCTTATAACCTTACTATAGCTCCCTTTCGTAAGCTCTTATATGGTAGTAATTATACTTGCTTACTCTCTTAATTAAAACATTAAAATTTTAGCGTTATAAAGCCTTTTAATCTTAAAGAAAAAACATTATTAACTCTATTAAAATCCATTAAATTTTATCCTTAAATTAAGCTAATCTCATTTATACTCTTTAAGTTATTAAGAAAATCCTCTCTAATATTTACGCTATTAGTACTTTATAGTTTAAAATCTTAAAGCCTTAACCGTTTCTTAAACTAAGAAATTTCCTAGTTACTTAAGTAGGCTAAGAAATAAAAATATATTACCCTTTAAAATTATAAATAAAGCTAAGTAAATCTCGTCTTTAAACGAAGTTACTTAGCTAAAAGACCTTTATATTATTATTACTCTTTAGTATAAATTAGTAACGTAATTTATTACTAACTTATTCTATTAAACCTTACTTTAATTATATTACGTACGCTAAAAATAAGCTATTAATAAGTTTACTTTTATACTTAAGTTAACGTAGGTATTAAATTAAAGTTATAATTCTTTTTTACTTTATTCTCTTAGTAATAATTCTATAATATATAACTTCTTCTTATTAAGTATACCTAAAAAACTAACTTAAGCCTTTACTTTATTTAAGAAACCTACTTAAAAATACTCTCTTTAATTATAAAACGTTATAATCTCTCCCTTAAATATATTAAAAGATATTTCTATTAAAAGTAACTCGTTAGGTTCCCTTATAAAACCTAAAGGATTTTACAAGTTACGTTTAGCTATAAAAAGAGCGGATATTTATTATATTAATAACTTATTATAAAAGTAAATTTAAACTTAATAAACTCTTACCTTAAGCTTTTAATTAGCTTCTTTTATTCTATTATTAAATAACTTAATACCCTTAAATAGCTTCTTATTATTTACTCTTACCTTACTATTAGGAAGAATAGCTAACTTAATTAATAATAAAACCCCTTTAAGAGCTTTAAGTAAATAGCGTTAGCTTATTAACGTTAGTTTCTTAATAGAGAAACTTATATACCCCTTAAAACCCTTTAAACCTTCTTCCCTTTAAGGCTCTCCCTAATAGTAAATTAAACCTTACACGCGAGTATAATACGTGTGTAATACTACTCTTTAAACCTTCTTCTCTTTAAAGCTCTCCCTAATAGTAAATTAAACCTTACACGTAAGTATAATACGTGTATAATACTACTCTTTTTTACCTTACTAAGAATAAGATAAATTTTAAATAATATACTCTTCTTTAAGCTTATATTATTAATAACGTGGTTAAACTCGCTTATATAATTAAATATATAATACCCTTTAAGAAACGTTACCTTATTAACGTATATATTCTTTATTAATTACTTAAGAATAGAAATAATATTTTATTATTAGCGCCTAATATAACTAAGATTATTACACGTTTTAAGGGTAAATTAAACTATAATTATAAGAATAAACTAAAAACTTTTATGCTTTCTTCTTATTAACCTTTAAAGTAAAGTAGTTAAATACCTAAGAGATAGCCTTATAACTTCGCTTTTACTCGCCTTATCTTATAATATAACGGTAACCTAGTTTTACGTTATATACCTTTTAGAGACTACTTATATTACCTGCCTTCTTGTTAAGATACTCACTTAAATAGATAATTTACGCGTACCTTTAAGGTAGACCTTCTCTCTTATAACTTTAAAGTAACCCTTATTTTAGCTTATATTAGTTAACTAGACTAGCTAGTAAGTAGCTATAATACTTAGGCTATCTTAAATAATATTATATTAAAATTACTCTTTACTCTTACCTTTAATAGTTATTAATAGTTTAATTCTCTTAACCTAAAATTAAAGGCGCGTTTAATATATAACTTTAATCTATAAGAACGGGAATTATCTTAGCGTTTTTATAAGAATTATAGTATAATTATGTAACGGTGGCTTAGGTTCTAAGACACAGTAGGTCTATTTCTTAGGAAGTAAGTCAGGTTAAATGCTATAGAGTAGCTTTTAAGCAGTATTACAATAAGGCCGTTAAGAGTATAACTCTTAATAGTAAAACTATTGCTTAGATTAATTAATAGAGAACTAAATTATCTACTATAGCGGAATACCTCCTCCTTAAGTACTCGTTTACCTCTTTATTATAGTCCTAAATTAGATAGATCCCATTTAATCCCCCGTGCTAGATCAGGTTAATCCCCTTTAATCTATTAAGTTAGATTAGATTAATACCATTTAATCCCCTTACGTAACCTGCGATCCCGTTAGGCCCTATTCTTATTTGCATGCTAGCGGCCTATAACGCCGGCTAACTACTTTAGGTACCCTTAGTTCGTAATATAATACTCCTCCCTTATTAGTCTTATTCTTAAGGCTATTTCATTTCGTTTAGTAAGTATTCTCTTCCTTCCTCTCTTTTCCCTTTTTTCTTTCTTTATTATTCTTTTTATAATGTCTTTTAACCGTATTTTAAAACAGCGATCTCGCCTTAACTAAAAGATTAATTATAAACGTCTTTTCGAGTTTATATTTGCCTTTAGCTTCGTTATACCTTCCTGTAATTCGTGTTAAAAAAACAATTAAGAGTGCATTATCGCTAAAGGGAAAGACAAGTGCAGCGAATGTGCTTTACGTGGTTATACTAGCTATAATTCAGGCGGAACGTCTTTAAATACTTATAATCGTATTCTTCGCGAAAAGGATCGTCTTAATAGAGAACGTGCTTTAATTAAGGAGAATTTAAAGCGGGTGATAGCTTGTTTATAAAGGATTTATTGTTAGGAGAAATTTTTATGATAAAAGGCTACGAAGATAATTACTTATAATATAAAGAGTTTAAACGAGTTAAAGGCCTAAAAGCGTTTAAAGTTAAAGTCTAATATGCTTAATTAAATACCTGAGTTTCTAATAGACTTAAGTTTCCCTATTTTTAATAAGTTTTTATTCTTTAATAGAACTATTTAAGCGACGTTAAGTAATTTATAAGATTCTTAGCTAGTTCCCAGGTGTTTTTAAAGTTTAAATATCCCTTTTATTTAATAAGATAATAATAATTCTTTATATCTCCCTATGCTTTAAGTATTCGTTTAACTTTATATTCGTTAGTATCTTTCGTTATAATATTTATAGTAATTATAGATTTATCTAGTGCTTTCTTTAGTAATAATATATAAAATATAGAATAGATTCTTATTCTATTTAGTAATAATAATTCGTAGTTAGTATTTAAGATTTTTCGTTTAATAAGAAATAGTTTAATCTTCTTTTAGTTAAGTTTATCGTTAGGTCGCTTAGTTTTAATGTTTTTATGAATAAGGTATACTTTATATCTCTTCTTTAAAATTAGCGCT